TGTGTGTGCGTGTGTGTGTGTGTGTGTGTGTGTGTGTGTGTGTGTATTTAATGTTGATATATATTTTTTTTTTTTTTTTTTTTTTTCAATTTCTTCCTGATAAAATATTATAGAGCTTGACAAAATGTATTTACATTTGTTTATATAAATTATTTAAAATAATTTTAAGGCATCTTGCAGCCCCCTTGGAGGTGTGCTGAGGCCCTCTAGTACCGGCCCCCTGGTTGAGAACCACTTGTATATGTATAACTAAATATTTGTGTGTGTATGGGTCAAAAAAGTGGATGAAGCAAGAATATGTCCATTTTGGTTCACAGAGTTCACAGAGAGTGTCTGTGTCATTCTGTGCTGTGTTGTGGTGAAAATAGGGAGATTTGGGAAAAGGGAGCACCATAATGATGACATTTCAGATGGCAAATAAGAGGCTTAAACTTCCCTAATACTCAATACTCTGGGTGTTTCATTAGCAGGGTTACAGGGAACCGAACTCTTGTTGTCCTGCCAGGACAGAAACAACATTATTTCAGCCTGGCAGGGCAACACAGGCTTATGGACAAAGAGACTCAATATTGTCACAGAAGATGCTTAAACAGCACAAGCAAATAATCATTTTAGGACGTTTTAGCAGTCCGAAGGAATCCTTCACTTATCTCAAACTATCACAGGCCAGACATTTGACTATTATGGTAAAGCTTGGATATTATATTAGACTCTTTGTGAAGTAATTTATATTACAGTTTTTCTTGAAACCATCACTCAGTTTCTCAAAACCTTAAACACAAATCCAAATACTCAAACCAAATTCACGAAACCTCTGACTCTTCCGTCAAAATCAAACAATCACTGCAAAACCATTTCACTTGCACTCAAAATCAAACGGTGCTCTCAGATCACACACACACACACACACACACACACACACACACACACACACGAGTCAATAAAATAAACACTACAGAGCATTCATTAGACACTACAGAGAAAAATGGAGAGCACAGCATCCAGAATATTACAGGAAAAAATTATATTGTATTGAGTAAACAATTTTGCAATTCTGTAAAAAAGTATAGTAATTGCAACTGAGTAAGGTGAATATAGTGTATAGGCCTACTGTATGTACTGCAAGAATAGTATTGTGCTGAATATTGAATACTACTGAATGTTTGTATATATTCAGCACTTGGATACTGCAAAGATACTGCAGTCCAACTGCAAAGGCCAAAAAGCTCAAATAAAACACTAAATAAATAGCATGTTACAGTACACTCAAATACTGTAAGTTGTGCAATTGTAAAATCAGGGTCAATGAGAGATTAATTCTGTCTCAGCATCATGTCTTTGTGCTTGAGTCCGGCCTGAGGACTTTGTCCACATCACAAGTAATGTAGTCTTTTTTGCTAGACAAAGAGAGAAAAAACCCTCTGGTCTGACAGATCCAGCCTTGATAACACTCTCTAAGCCTTACTCTTTCTCTCCTCATCCTCCACTTCTTAAATGTACTCTTGCTCCTCTCCTTCTCAGATTGTTTCCATCTATTGTTCGTATCATCATTCAGTCCCCTGTGCCACTTGTGCACTCTGAACTGGCTCATATTTTGTACAGTTGGTTTGATCACATCATTAGAAACAAGTGTGAACAATTTTGAATCGTTGTGTGTATACGATGACAACTGTGCTTTAGTTGTGTTTAACTTTTGCCGCTTGTGTTTAGCATTTTGCAGCACAAATGCATCACAGTGTGATAAGTGTTTAAGTGAAAGAGAATGTGTTTAGAGTTTTGCAGAAAGAGTCTAACTGCCTGAACGTGTTTAAGGTTTAGCAGAAAGAGTGCTTTATTCGGCAAATTGGTTTAAGCTAGTGAGAATTTGGTTCAGAGATTGGGGTTTAGTGTTTTAGCTATTCAGAAAAACTGTAATGTGACATATCACATGGGCTTTATTTCAGCCCCAATCCAATATTAATTCAAATGCACAATTTACAGTGCACAGCCTTGACCCACTATTACAGTACTATCATTACAGAGTATCCATAATCATGGAGCAATATGCAGAGACACACAACTCTGAACACGTCTCCACTGTCAACATGCCCATTTGTAAAATTGCATACCCTCCTAAAAGCTGCTCAAGGCCGCGGGGCTATTCTGGAAGCTGTTTATTAAGGAATCGTGCTCCTTGCCAGTCACTATGGCTTCAGGAGATCCAGACAGACTTTATCTTGACAGTTCCCCGCTCTGAGCAAAGTGGCCTGTGTATGTGACTGGGGGACTTTGAGTGGAGGGTGGTAAATGTGATCTTTAAAAATCAATAAACTAAAAGAGGGGCCTCGTGTGTGGTCTGAGGTGTGGAGGTAGGATGAATGAGAAAATGAAAGAGGGACAGAAGGATAGGCAAGAGAAGACAGGACAGGTTACGCTCCGGTGAAATGATCCAGTTATTTGACACTCTGACTGGGATTAACACGGAGTCATGGGGCTGAGATAGAAGGAAAAACTGAATCATAACAGAGACAAGGCAGATCTCAAGACGGGATGGCGACATAAGACCAAAGACACTGAACTGACCTTGTGTGTTTTTTAAAAGGGTCATGCTCAGGAGACATTTGTTTGTTAAATACATGCCCATGACAACCAACTGATGTACTTAACAGAATACTGAACTTTTTACATTATAGAACAGTTTCATGTGTAAAGCAAAGGCTGAAAATTCTTTTTATTTAAAAAAAAAACAATTTCTAGAAATATTAGCCAATATGCATGTCTGCATTACTGTCTTTACAATTTAATTGGTTATATAAATATAAAATAATAATTAAAAATGCCCTGCTATGGAAATTACTTAATTTTTTTACTATGTAGTGTTCTTTTTTAAAATGCTCATACAGACTTTTCATTTGTATCTGCATTTTATAAATTAGTTTTTAATCATTTTAACAAATAATGAAAAATAACATTTTTAATTTTAAATTAATTAAAATTTTAATCATTCTTTATATTTTTAGCATAAATGGTTCAATTTCCTGAGAATGGTTATAAATGATTCCATCTTTCTACTTCTAAATATCAGGAATTTGCAGTTCCATTTACAGTAATTACAAACATTCTGATCTGTTTTCCTTAACAGCATCCACCGTTAAGCAGCTTAGAGCCACAGTGTACATTAAATGCATTTTGAGAGTATTACTGCATAGCGGCGGTTTTGCTTATTATCCTGCTGTTGCTGGAGTAATGACGTCTCTATGAGGATGACTTAGATTAGATTTGAAACACAACCTCTATTTTGCCTGAAGATTTTTCAGTGTCTGTCAAATCTGTCATTTCTTTCTGCCTCAAGACATGTACTGCACAATGAAAATGAAGGAGGCCATATTTTAGAGCCTCAGTCAGATACACAAGTTCACAGCATCATTACATGGCTGAACATGGGTATTCTTTGACACCAACTTCTGATATCTGATGCTAATGATTCTATCTGCTGGTTACACTTCAATGCCTGCAACTCGCTCTCCTTAAAAGCTCCATAAAAAGGTGTGGCAGGAAAAGCTTTTACCTCTGTATCAGTGCCAGCAAATTAAATCATACTGTATGTTCAGAACTAACTCCCTCCAAATATAAGCATTAATACTTTGAGGACCATACTTGATATGCTATTGATTTTTAATTGTGCACTACTTCAATCGATAGATTCATTTTCATCATGATCAGAATGTCACCTGCAGGGTCAATCAAGAATTTAGTGTTTGAATGAAGGGCTTTCTGCAGGCGAAACAACATATTCATGCAGCTTTATGTGATATCCTTTGAGTATATATCACATATAATGAGTCCTCTTGGAACGTGATTCTACCTACGATCATTTCAATTGAGTTTCATTACAGAAGAGCATTGTCCATTGGTTAATAATTAGTAATAATGATTAAAGGCTGGAATATACACAAACACAATATTGCCAGAGTTACAGTCTAGAGGAGTTGCCTATTAAAGTTGCCAAAAGTCAGAGCCAGTCTGCAGATTTTGGGAGCTCACATTTGACCAATTTCACAGAAAATCGCATCATGTATGATGGACACAGATTTAGACGATGATTTCATCCAGATGGAGGATATCAAACATGTGTGATATTTCGATATGATATTGTCATAAATCTCCTAGCAACAAGGCACATGTTTCTGTGTGAGTTTGTGTTCAGAATCACCTTAAAGTCTGGTAATGTGTTATCCTCAGTAGTTTTAGTGTATTATGCCCAGTTTTCCTCTGTAACCATATACAAAGTCAACAAATAGTATTTTAAAACCTCTTCAGATTTTAAAAGTCGTGTACTGTATCCCAGTCTTAAAGTAATCATCACAATCATAATTCAAACTGGGTATCTTCTCTGTCTAGTCGCCCATACTGCCAAACCCCAAACTGAAAATTGACCTCTCACTCCTGCTGCTGCCAACCCAACCTATAAAATTCATCTTTCAGTGCCTGTCACAGCCGAGACCATCTAAACATCTCCTTACAACAAATTATACATTCAGACCCATGATTTATGCATTAAGCAACTAAAGTAACGTTTCTCAACCTATGCAGGTAGTTAGCTAACAAAAAGTGTGAACTAGTGATCGAGATTTAAGTAATTCAGCTTGATGAATGAAATTATCAACAAATGGATGTCTTTATGGATGGGCCAGACACTTAAGCATTCTGCCAGTCAGAGTAAAAGAGCATCATTTACATTAACACGACACATAAAATGACAAATAGTAGCGATAAAAATATACCATTGTGCTAAATATAAAATCGATGTTGAAATGAACTTAAAGAGGCTTACCTGGCTTCTTCGGTTCAGGCATGGTGGTTCGTCATATGTCGGTCACCCTTACTTTTCTTTCTCCCACACTTTACTCATCTTTCATTCCTTTTATTCCCTCCTCCCTTGGCAAGCATGTCGTCCCCATCCTTGAGAAAGATAAAGGAGGGTGGGTGAGGAGAGAAAAGAGCGATACAGGGAGAGAGAGTGACAGAACGAGTGTTACTTGAGATCTTAAGGGAATACAACTTGGACAAGAGGAGCAGACGAAAGACAGACAAGGGTGAAAAAAGTTTAACATTATAACAAACAGGGTGTCTCTATGTTAATTGGTTATCTTGATAAGGCGTGCTGTGAAACAGGCTATTCACTAATGGAATGATATACTCATAGATATTTTAACTGACAGCCTGTATGAAGCACATTACAGTGGAGCTGCTTGACACCTGTGATTATCTATGAAGTGATTCTTACCTCAGAAAATTAGAGAGACTTGTCAAGAACAGAATCAGGCTGCTGAAATGCTGTCAGAGGTTAACTATGTTAGACAGGCTGACCTTTGACCTTATAACTCTCTAACCACGCCTTTCTTTTCAACAAGTATAAGTGCTGACAATTCTGCTCATTCATTAGGCCGGTCTCATAGATCTTTACAGGACACACACTGACTGTGTTTTACAAATAATAAGGCTAAACATTGAAAGAAAGCAGTTAAACTGAGGTAGCTTTGTGTGCTTTGGTAGCTGGGGCCAGTTGCATAAACTTAGCCTCTATGTTAAGACTGTCTTAAATACGAGTTTGACCAACTAGCAGTTAGCAAAGGGGTAATCAGTATCATTTTTGGATTTAACTAAGACTAATCTACGATTTAATGTATGAAATTAATTAAATATATATATATATATATATATATATATATATGGCCAGTCTTATAGAAAACAATTAGATGACTAACTTTTAAGACTAGTCTAAAGCTTTTATGCAACTGGCTCCGGGTTAAATAACTCACCCAAATACATACATATGCTGACGCATATAAAAACTTTTAACATATAAAAGTTGTATTTCAAGACATTCCTCTGATTTTTGTCTTTAAAATGCTCTTGAGTGTAGGATTAATTTCTTATGCATCTCATCCAACGCCTCCGTTGTTAATTCCAAAATGTCATTTTAGACTTAGCAATGAAGACTTGAGCCATTGATAGTAATGCAGTTATGCAGTTATTAAAGGGTTACTTCACCCAAAAATGAAAATTCTGTCATTAATTACTTACCCTCATGTCGTTCCAAACCCATAAGACCTTCAATCATCTTCAGAACACAAATTAAGATATTTTTGATGAAATCTTACAGCTCTCTGACCCTCCATAGACAGCAATGCAACTGCAATGTTCCCAGACCCAGAAATGTAGTAAGGACATCGGTAAAAAACAGTCCACGTGACGTCAGTGGCACAACTTCAATTTTGGGAAGCTACAAGAATACTTTTTGTGCACAAAGAAAACAAAAATAACATAATTTATTCTACAATTCTTCTCCACGTTACCGTCTTCCACCATTTTGGAGAGTACCGCAATGCATGCACGCACTTTCCCCAGAACATAATCAACGTAATAAGTGTTTATTACGTTCTGGGGAAAGCAGGCGCATGCGTCGTGGTACTCTCCAAAATGGTGGAAGACGGACTGTTTTACCAATTGTTTTACCGTTTTTGTCCTTACTAAGTTTCTGGATCTGGGAACATTTCAGTTGTGTTGCTGTCTATGCAGAGTCAGAGAGCTCTCAGATTTCATCAAAAATATCTCAATTTTGTGTTCCTAAGATAAACAAAGGTCTTACGGGCTTGGAATGACATGAGGGTGAGTAATTTAAGACGTTTTCATTTTGGGGTGAACTATCCCTTTAATGCAGTTACAAGAAAGAGAGAGAGAGAGAGAGAGAGAGAGATAGAGGGAGGGAGGGAGGGAGAGAGAGAGATTAAGCGTGTGTGAATTACCTGAGTCTGTGCATCCCTCACCAGTGTTCGGCAGCAGCATCTCTACTAATAGCGAAACTGTAAGTTCATCTGCTTCAAAACTATTTTACTGATAAAATCGTCAGAGCAGTGCTAACAACACATTTCTGTGCACAAGTATGTTTCTCTGTGTGTGTGTGTGTGTGTGTGTGTGTGTGTGTGTGTGTGTGTGTGTGTGTGCATTCTGTG